TGTTAGGAGTGTTGACATTGCATAGTTTATTCACAAGAGGGCACTCTGCAGCTTCCCTCTTTGGTGATGTGTTTGGAATGCTACAAACACAATATCCACCTGGGAAAAAAAAGACTAAATAAATACACATAAAAATTGTTCAGGAACCAGTTTGCTTTGTGTATCTGAATAATAGGGAATAAAAATACTGGCTGATATATCAGAATATTGGATTTTTGTATCACCAAATATCGGCATTGATATCGGTCTAAAAATCCTATACTGGTCGGGCTCTATCAAAAATGTAACATAAATTATCCAAACTTGCTTGTCAGTACTTCTGAATATGTATTTATGAAAAACCAGATGATATTAAAAGTGAAAAAAAAATCTCGAATTTGCAATATATGTCGTACTTTTATCTACTGGTTAGATTTTTTTGCATGACAGTTTAGATAAGGTCAGTTGCTCGATGTGCACCTGTATGGCTTCAAGATGTGGACTTCAAAAAGAACGCAGGCTTACATTCACATAAAACACACGCTGTCTTGTACAGTAGTAGGCTACATTAGGTCAGAGTAACTACTTCCTCTCAAAGGGTGTCTTGGCAGCTGTATGTTTATTTCTATTTGAGCTGAGCCTTAATTGAGAAGAAATCACAACACAGCTTGGAGCTTCAGTGTTTGAAAGTCTTCTCAACCTCTTAAAGGTTGGAGCACCAACTCTCCTTTTAGTCACCTCTAATCAGCAATGCACTGAAGTGTCTTCAGTCTCCTGCTCTCTTCTTTCTTTCTTCCTTTCTAAGGCCTCGCAATGAAGCCATTTGCATCCCCCAGGTTGCTAAGATACTCTGCCACCGCGACTTAAAATGTTTTCCCTTCACACTGAAGGTGGATTTCAAGAGGAAAACAGCTGAAGGAGAAGAAAAAAGATCCCGTTTTCGCTAATTTGGCGATTTGGTCACATTTGGGAGGGTGTTCGTTACCCTGCCTTTGTCTGCATGGGTGTTTTTCAGGATTTCTATATGGCCTAATGAGGCTCTTAGTTGCTGTTGACTACCTGCCATATGTGCATGAACACATCAGAGAGCTTAGAGGCAAAGCCCCCCCCCCCCCCCCCCCCCCCCCCCCACACACACACACACACACACACATAATGGTTGGCTTTTTAGCTGCGCCTGAAATAAGCATGCAACAAAAACAGAAAGGAGATCATTCCTGCTGTGATATTACAGATTAATGTATTGAAAAATATAAGGTTTTTTGAAGTGTTGGATTCCCAAAGACTCTGCCCTGTTACATGTTCTGTTTGTGTGTTATTGTGATTTTTCTTTTCTTCTCAGCTCTATCAGAAAATGAGTTTTTCACAGAAGAGCTTTTGAATGAGCAGATAGAGAGCTGTCATGTCTCAGATAGATTGTCCCTACAGGAGAGTCGATGTGTCAAGGGACAGGAGGCATAAATGAAGTCATACCGCAAACCCTCAAGTCTTATTACTGTACATTAGCGCTCCACTAAGTTCCTGTCCGCCTCAGCATCCTCTGGGACATTTCTGGCCTTTGATGAAGCTCAAGTGACGGCAGACAAGGACTGCTTTCCTCCTAACTCTGTCATTATGTTTAGGTGCAACCTCTTGTGTGGTTCTGCAGTGTGGCTTTGCACTAATTAGTCTTGTGGATATAAATGCAGAAATCCACTTTCCACTGTGAGAGATCTCCTGTACTAAATTAGGCTAATGCTAGGCTAATGCTAATGTTTAAGGAGGTTTTGTGAGGGGTGTTTTATGCCTGTCCTTGGCACGGCGTGGCAGGGCCCCGCTTCTTGCCAGGCGTGATGATTTTTAGTGGTTCCTGCCAGGCTACGCTCCCCTCCCACACTCTTCTGGCCCATCCATCTCATGCTGCCTATGTCTGAAATTCAATTGACCTTTTGTTCCACCTCACAGTGAATGGGCACAGGCCAACTTCACCAATAGCCAACCCAGCCAGAGCTCTCATACCTCTTTATTTGATCTGTCCTGCCGAGTCCAGTGCTTTCATTACCTACCCAAACACCCACTCCAACCCTACCCTCAGTGACATCCTCTTTTATCTCTGGTCATGTCTTTTTGTTGGAGAAATGGCAGGAGAAAATGCTTTCTCCCTTTTTTTCCCCTCGTGCTCTTGATTGTTATGTTGATTGGTTTTTATTTGTGCCTGCTCGGCTTCTTTTAAACACAGCACTTTTCTCCGCTCCCTCAGAGGACTTTTTTCCCCCGACTTTGCAAAAGTGCTGAGGTAGCTTTCCTGTCATTCAGGGCAGAGGAGCTCTGAATTGCTGTGCTGTGACAAGCCCTGCCGTGACCATGACCTGTCAATCATTTTGATCTTTGGGACTGACAAATTGATCCCAATGGCCTCATTTCAGCTTCTAATTACATGTTGAGTCAAACTAGTACTGTTGTCTCAACTTTGCTTCATCTGACGTCTTTTTCTCTTCATCTTGATTTTGCTTTAATCCCGTGGTTGCTACTCTCTCTCTCTGTTGCAAAAAACCACTACACGCCCTAGCTCCGGCATCAAACTCATTAAATCTTTTTTGTCCCTACTCCACCCCCACAGGGGTGTCTCATTTCTTCTTCATCTCTAACCTTAGTACAGGTCTGCTGCACTGCGATACATACTAAAGACTGACTTCAGCAGCTACAGCACCTCATGTGTGACCGCTACCCATCACAGCTTGCTGTCTTACAAAGTGAGCTTTGCTGAGTGTCGGACTTGGCATCCTTTTCTGGGGATGTGGTTGTGTGTGCTTGTGTTAGTCCTGCTCTCTCAGCAATACAGAACTGTAGCAATATTGTGTTAATAAGATGAAGAGGAGACTATGAATTCCTGATAATGCCCTGCAAGGTGTAGGCTAAAATTACTTTTTCTTTCCTGTATATTGCACTGAAATTGCAACATAAATATTTTAAAGTTAGCAAAGGAATGTTGTTAAATGTATTTTGCCCAGCATCCTTAAGGATTTTGCAGAGTTCAATTGTTGTGGTGTTGCTGCTTGAGAGCATTCCTAATTTAGATTTAATGTATTGTTTGTGTCTTCTGTTCTATGTCCAGGTGCATGAGGATGTGCAAAGCTGATCAAACATGCCATTAGCTCAGAAGTGCAGTGCTGCAGCTAAACTTGGTTTCTATGCATCAAATTTAAAAAACAAAACAAAACACATGTATTACTGGTTATTTAAGCTGCTGTAGTCTACTTGTGGTTACAATCCACTTGAAAGCTCACTTGCAACCCACCTCTATTTGTCTGTGCTGGGTTCCTACTGTTCCTCCTCCCACCTCCAACTATTCAGAAGGGCAGGGAGGTCCTAAACAGGGCCATATAAGAACTACAAATTACTGTAAATGGAAACAATAATCTTCTTTTGACAAGCATCATTCATGTGTTAAAGAGTCAGCCAGCAGATTAATGGTTGTGTGCATGTGGTGAGCAAGATTTTATAAAAATTAATTGAATGCTATTTTGAAACGCACTATCTAGTCACCACACTGTGAGAATGTGGTAATATGTATTATTGCCAGCTGTAGGGGGTAGCAATTTGTATAAACAATGATATCAAAGTCAGTAGTGTTAAACCAAGAGAAATCTGAAGCCACTGTAAACAAAGCATACTTGTTTTTTCTCTGATTTAATTGATATTTCAGGTCATTTTTTTTAAGCGTTTGATGTTAATATGGATTTTTAGTGACAAACAAATGTCACTAAACAAAACCATTCCAGCTTGTGAGGATGTGACAGGCAGCCTGTTGCATTGTTCTCAAAGAGCAATGAGCAGGTCACTACAGGAAAGCAAGCTGAATGATGGGGTTGCGGGCCGCGTGCAGCTATTGTCACATACTCATTCCATCATTAACAAAGAGAACATAGTGATGCGGGGTGTAGTGCTTTTGTGCAGAACACCAGACTAAAGCATGCAGCTCTAACAGTCTGTTTATTGTGTGGCAGGTCAGGTTTGGTATGAAGCACAGACACACCAAACAAACATAAACTTTGGTTTTGTATAAATATTAAAAATCATCAGCTTGTATGAACCTAAATCATATGTTTAATCTTCCAAAGCGTTTAATATTTATTTACGGTGTAATGTGATTAGCTAATTTTGGCAAATTTGATGCACAATGTGACAAACCTTTGAGTTATGGAGGCTTGAAATTTATGCAGAACATAAGGTCTACAGCAGCTTCTGACGGTAGGAGGGAGGGTGCCCGTGGCCGCAGCCACACATCCACGAGAGCCCAGATATTTTTACAAGCCTCCTAATGAGAGCTGCAAGAGAGCAGGAACTGTGGAAGTGAGCAACTTGTGGAAGTACAGAGGCGCCACTCTGCCCTCAAATTTGATCAAGGTACAAAATTGAAAAGCAAGAGTGCTGAGAAGCGTGTGAGCGCATGTGAATCTCATAGAGTCTAAAAGAAAATGGAAGATTTTAAATCAAGGACCATTTGCAAGTGAGACAGAAAGAGGGATGAGATGAGAGAATTAAGGGGTTCAACCTTTAGTTTGGCCTTTGTGCTGGCATTCGCTGTCGTTTCAAGATGATTATGGATCGTATGTACCAGTCCTCCAATTCTCAAGCCACTATAATTCACCTTTGTGTGTATGCGTGTGTATGTGTGTGTGTGCTGCTATGACTAACTCTTTAACATTCCTCCTGAAGTACTGTGACAGAAGAGGCACAGCTGTGTGGAAGCCCAAGAGAAAAAGATGCACAAATATGTGCACATAACTGCTAAGATCAAGGTTCATTTACATCTGGAGAGTGTGTTCGAGCTGCAGCATGTCGATGTGTGTGCCACACCGCCTGCTTTAATGGGCTATTCATGTATTAATGACCTTTGGGTGTGCAGTATGCTTCTAATTGACAGAGTAGGCCATATGGTTGGGATGCAGAGTCTTGCAGGGTTAAATCAGGTTAAAAACAGTTAGGAATTTCCCCAAAGACACCATGACCTTACACCATATGTTATTGTGTGTTCACAGGTTCTTCTTATTACGATAATGTGAGGCCGTTGGCGTATCCCGATTCAGATGCAGTGCTTATCTGTTTCGACATCAGCCGTCCAGAGACTTTGGACAGTGTCATAAAGAAGGTCAGTATTTTTTACTCCCCCTCTCAATACTTTGGATCAGCATTTAATATCGCAGTGAAAGTGGAGAACCAACGAAAAACCAATTCAATTCACTTTTTCCTGATCAGCATCTTGTATCGACTTAGATTTCTGTGCCAGCAGCTTTTCACGGCTTAACAATGGAGCAAATCAGCACTGAGGTTAAAGTCTCGCTTTCCTTTATCTCATCAAAACGTCCATGGATACTTGACCCGTGTCCCTGCAAGCAATAGAAGGTCAATGCGAAGAATGAAATAAGAGGGCTTGCAGCCGGGTGGGTTCAAGAGGAATATCAGATACGCATATTAGACACACCAGACATATCAGAGAAGACATTTCAGAGAATGTTGAGGAGTGTTAGAAACAGACTTTCTGTGAACATTTAAAATATAAAATCTGAGTTTTATGCTGAATACTTCACTTGTTGGTGTCTGTTAACATTTGCAAGGTGGCTAATGGCTGGGAACAGTGCAGTTGGGATGGGTGTAATAGCCGGGTGGCGTCATCAAATGTGGTTTTGGACGTGTTTTTACAGCCAGTGGCAGATTGTGTGCCCACATAGTATAGTGAAACACCCATGGTGTAATTATACCCAACTTAATGGGTCTGTTTGCATGCATGTGTATCACGAAAAGCAGACCTGTGCCTTTTAGTGGTGTCTCATCTTGAAGCCATGTGTGTGTGAGTTTGCCTTTGAACTGCACCCCTTGTGAGCTGAAGACAGTTCCCATGGCTGGTCTGTTGACGTGTTTAGTGGTCTGAAGGGAGCTGCTAAAATGCCCCTGCAGACTTTTGTAGATCTAACCTGGGACGCCATTTCTTTAACCCGCCAATATCTCTCCAGCCTCCGTGGAATCTGTCAACAGGGGAAGCAGCACTGCTCCTCAGCTTTAGCTTTTCCCATGCATCACTTGGCAGGGGGCTGCCATGACCCCTGCCCCCTAGTTGTCATCCCAATAATCCCTGAAACTCAGGCGCACATGGAAAACCTGTTGCACAATCACCATCCTAAATTAGACTCTTGACCTCCAGGAGCTAGGGGGGGGGTCACCAATATTTCTAGACGACAGCTGGGGGAGGAAAGAGGGTTAAACAATCAAAGGTTTTGATTGGATGTCATTGACAGAATGGGGATGTGCCTGAAAGGTCAGAGGTTGTTTTCAGTACAAGGGGTGAATGGACACCCTGACATTCTGCACATGGCATGCGGAATATTTCAGTGCTGTCATGTATTTGTGCTGCCAGGAGGAGACTGTGTTGGTTCAGCTGAGTTTCAGTAGTGACATTTAATCTCAGGGTGATTTTAGAAGGAAGACTGCTCAACCTTTCGGAACAGAACCTGAAATAGATTTTGTTGATGGAGACTGAGTAAGGAAAGTATAACACACCACACAGACGTCCAAACTAAGCTGGCACGAGTGAAAAAGTCACAGTACGTGGCCCTATAGCTGTTGCAGTAAAATAGTGAACATTGCCTTGTATCATAAAAAAACAGGAAGTCTCTTTAATCTGATTAGAGGTAAAATAATTACTTGATTAATCCTGGATGGTTGACAGCACCAGTTAATCTGTGGCTTTTTTGCTGATCACTTCATCTTTGAGCCATTTTTCAAGCAAAACTGCCAAATATTTCTAGTTTTAGCTTCTTACTCATGATAATTTACAGATTTTATGCCAAGATTTTTCCATTCCCGTCCTTTTTGTTTTGTTTTATGAATTTTTTGACAGTCTGACAATTCATTAATTAAACAATTGAAAATGTAAAATGTACCCACAATGAATGTAACTTTAAATAAATCTCTACAGTTATCACCCCTTTCCATCACACTTAAGATTAATTAGTTGTCTGTTTTGCGCTGAAAATGCCAATAATGAGCTGCTTTCGTAAAATTTCACAAATCTGCCCATTTAAAAAATAAAACAAAAAATGCAAAAAACCCCAAACATACCCAATTTAAATTTGGCACATTGCACCGTTAAGGTCTTCTGTTTGTAGACCTCTGAAACACTTCCAGCACTGCTGCTGTTTTGCCCTTTTATTCATATGAGATTTTACCATGGAGCCCAAACTTGAGAGGAAATCAAACATCAAACTCAACTGACTTTCATGTGGAGGATATTCCCTGTTGATGAGATCTGCATATCTGCAGTGTCCAAGCCAAAAGGCAGTTCATAAAGGCCAGATGTACAAACTAAAAGAATGTACATTGTTTTATTTTTCCTTTTTTAATTTTGAGATTTTTGGAATTGTGCGCTGTAAATTAATTTCCCTGGGTCAGACTCTCAATGTTCTCAGGTGTCTGAAGAAGAGCATATGAACTGTGGGGTTCGTCACTGTGTCATTGTGCACCAGCACACAGAACAGTGATAAGTTTTTTTGGCGACACCAACACAATAATCGCTCATCCACACTGCTTGCCAGATTTGGCTTCCCGCAACTTTGTCCTCTACTGCAAAAAGAAATGAAAGCTGAAGAGTTGACATTTTGACACAGTGAGGGGATTCAGCGCACAAAAAGGGACTTAAAAGGAGCAATATCTGAAAATAGCAGCCATGCTGGAAGTGGTGACGACAAATTCAAAGAAAGTAGGATGCTTGATGTTTACTGGCAGAATAGTTGAACTTTTTCATTCCACCTGGTACAATTACCAAGGGGATTGTCTTCAAAAATGTTTGTTTATCTCAAACAAAAGTAAAACAAAAAATCATATTCATCATACAGCGGTATCCAGCAGAAGCTTAACACAACCTCCGGCATTTGTGGTTGACAAATGACTGGAACAAAATATTTAGTTTTGCTGACTGATGAATGGCTTTGTTGACAAAAAATAAAGAGAACAGACATCAATGGATGAATGGATTAGTCAAGTTAAAAAGTCTTTACTGAATTACATTGAGTAATTTGCTGAGAACAAAATGACATAAGAAAGGTCACTGGGAACCAAAATCCCCAACCCTTTGAAGGCTGGACTTAAATTCCCACAAAAAAACACACCAAAGTTATGCATTTGTTTTTGCTGTGTTTGCTAAGCTGAACAAATGTCTTTTAGCAAGAGAGCATTAATCTCCCTCAAACTCAGGTATCCAGTGTCTGAGTAGCCAAAAGGTCATCTCTGTACTTCAGCAAAGGCAGCTCAGCGCTCAGTGCTCATGTTTGACATAATCAAGAGTGTCTTTCAGTTTTTCTCTGTCGGCTCACGTTCCTGCAGTGGCAAGGAGAGACGCAAGAGTTTTGTCCAAATGCCAAGGTGGTGCTGGTGGGCTGTAAGCTGGACATGAGGACAGACGTCAACACCCTGAGGGAACTCTCCAAACAGCGCCTCATCCCTGTCACCCACGAGCAGGTGAGAGCTAGCAGATGATGGATATTAGAGGAGAATGGAGTGAGATAAATAATAAGATTGAGACTTGCAAGGTGCCCTGGGAAGACAGACAGATTTGAAAACAGATGTGGAAAAGAAATTAGAAAGCAATAAAGCGATAAAATGAGATTTTTCTGTGTTGTATCAGCAGAGGCATTACCTCTCTTTTGCGGTCCCACAGGAAAGGAGTGTGAGAAAAGGCTCATGCAACACAATAAAATACCACATGACTGCTATTAGAACAGCATTAAACCCCTCGGGGACATGTTGCTGGGGTTGGCGTTTTGGCCAAAATTTGCTGACAGGGAATGTAATGTTGCTTATGGCAAGGGCTGCGGAAGAAGCACAAGTGGTTAGTCTAGTTTATGTCTAGGGAAACATTTTTTTCCCCCTGAAATGAAATATTCATGCAGATTTACAGATTTTCAAAATGCAGGATGAATAGAAAATGGACATTGATAAATGAGTGAGTCCTTTTATCACATGCTGCCGTGACCTCTAAGCCAAGGGGATGGGGGAAAAGAGGGAGGGGATGATAAACTGCTCTGTAAATCTGTGAATTTTAATCAGCTTTCAGTGTGTTCAATTTGTGTGCTCTCCTGTGTTCGACATACAAAAAGTGGAGGGGCTTTTTTCACCACCATACAAAAGCCCTCAAAACAAAGGAGCCTTTTTCCCGCTACTGTCTAAGAGCTTACTGGAGGCTAAAAGCATGCTGTTTCTAAAAAAACTCAGCAACTGAAAAAAACAGACAGGTCATATAAATAAGACACATAAACAAAAGAAGAGTGACAAACCACGGAGGTAATGTAAAATAGCTGGGACCATTTACTGGCTAGAACCATAGAAAACATTTGTCATGGTCCTTCTCAGTCTCTCTTTTGGTTTGAGACACCTACTGTTTGCCTCTCTAATATGCCCAGAAAATGTGTGTCACATGGCAGATGCCAAAGCTGTGCACAATAAACATTTCGGTGCTCTAATCTAATAGCCTGTGTTGCTATCCTGTTGCTGATCTTTAAATTGAATTCCAACAGAGCTGAGAAGTCGCCTTGCGAATGACCACTGGGTGAACTCCAGACATTTCCACACTAATCTGCCCGAGATTCGATCGAGCATTTCCACTTGTCACTACAATCTACCTCTTTCCCCTCCCACCGCCACCCTGGAATCTAAATCTGCTGTTTCACCTAATGAGGCCTTCATCGCTTCTTATACACGCCTCAGTGCAGCTGTGATGAAAATCAAACCACTTCCACTTGAGATGAAAAGCTTTCTCTGTGCTGGAGAACATGCAGTTGTAGGGGTCATGGGAAATGCAGTTCTGTCTCATCTGTTAGATCCTTGGCATGTGCTGATCCTGTGTGAAAACAGCTTTAAACTCTGATCATTAAACAACAGATGAGGATATGTAGTACTGTAATGAAGGCAGGGGCTCAGGGGTTTTCAAATTAAATTTGTGTCTGATTTGATCACGAGCAAACAATTTACAATTTCAAATAACTCAGTTATTGTAAGTTTACTCAGGGGTAAGCTCTGGTACCTAGTGTGAATGTCTTCCCTGTAAATAGCCTCATAGACCATATCAAAACTGGCCCAGCGGATTCCCATCCTTTTGTTTTACTGCAGACTGAGGAGTCAGCATCTACATTATTCATGCTTCAGTTGGAGGAAATTCATTTATCTACAGACATGTTCAGATCGCTGGCTTTCAGTCATCAGTTTAGATCAACATCTATATCTCAGAATTGCTGCCTCTTTTTTGGGGGACATTTAGTTTTCTGCTGTTGAGCTATAGTGTCTGCTTGTGCCAAGAAACAATGAAGGATGGAGTGCATATGGGGATATTTAATTTTCTTTTTGAAACACTGAAAAAGGACATGAAGGAAACTTATGTCTTACACGACCTCTTAAAGCCTGAGGAAACTAATGAAAAGCCACTGTTGAGAGATATTCAGGATTTCACATACAAAAAAAAGAAGAATGCACAAGTACTCAAAATCACGAGAGGACAATGAATGTTAAGAGGATTTACACCATATGATTTCTGATTGTTAAAATGATGCGTGTTTCCCCTGTCTTCTTCTTCTTGTACTTTCAAATTTAGCTTTGCTTCCTTTTTCATTTCTTCTTTGCCCGTCTCCATGTTCCAGGGAAGCACGATAGCTCGTCAGATGGGAGCGGTGGCGTATGTGGAGTGCACCTCCAAGGTTTCTGAAAACAGTGTTCGGGATGTGTTCCACATCACCACCTTGGCGTCAGTGCGACGGCCGCACAAGCCGCAGCTAAAACGCAGCAGCTCCCGCAGAGGCCTGAAACGAGTCTCGCAACTGCCCCTTCCACCTCTGCCGGGTCGGACTGAGCAAATAGACCAGGCCCCGGCCATGAGGAAGGACCGGGCCAAGAGCTGTGTGCTCATGTAGAGACCTATCATTACAAATATATATATATATGTATAAACACAGAAATATATATATGAAAGAGAAAGTCTATTTATTATTTGATGCTTTTTTTTTCTCGTATTTTCCTTTTTTGCACTGCAGAGGAGTGAGAAAAAAGAAACACTGCACTGTGGAAACAAATGCTTTGGATTTCTTTCCTTTTTGTTGCGTGTGTGCATACTTTATAAGCTGTTTACATATTTGTCTTGTTTTGAAATTATGGCAAATTGGACTAAGCCTCTGGACATGAGGAAGCTGTGATAGTGGATGTGCTGTCTAGTCCCTGGAATTAAAGTGGAATTAATTTCCTGAAACGGCTCTAATAACAGGGATGGCACGGCGGCGTATTGACGGAGAGTGCGCGAGTGCGCGGAACCATGTTGAAGCAGAATGTCTGGAGATGAAACAAAGGCAGTGTTGTCCAGCAGACATGCGGAGTCGTTGTTTAACTTTTCTGCCTGACACTGCTTCCTGTTGCCATGGATGAGAAAAACCTGTATGTACGGTAATGCTGGAAAGGAATTCTAGTGAATGATGGCAAATTAAGAGCTTAAAATTAGATTTTTTTAAGACTGAGTGAAGAACCATGAAGGTGTGTGCGAGCATAACTACCACAAGTGCATTTTAGAAGCAAAGTATCTGATTTTATTTTGCTCATTTAACAGCATTTTCCTCGTCAGCTACATTCATGCCAATTGGATTCACTGTAATGAATGCTATTGTTGCTACTTTAAATATGTTTCTTTGTGGAAGATAAGTGGTAAAATGTTAGGGCTATTTTGTTGTACTTTGACTAAACTCTAAAATAAAGCAAGAGCCTGCCTGTATTGGGGAAAATATCATTTTTGGCTGAAGTTTCTTTCCTGATCTTTGTTATTTAAATGCCATCGCAAATCTTAGACTGTATGCTCATCACAATGGAACAAATAAATCATTCAGAGTGCTGAATTTTTGCGTAGTTAAACACTTCCACGTGCTTTCCTCTTCCAGCCTTCAGAAATGACATTTGTAAGCTAACTGCCCATTTCTTGTGTTAATGCCGTCTCTGTGCTCTCATGTTGCCCTGCAAGATAAACAACATTGCAGCCAGGGGAGTGAGTCAGTCCTTCAAGGTGTTGTTCACACTATGAAGACCTCTCAGCTGGCACAAATAAAATTGAACTGCACTGCAGCAGCACCAGAGCACTGATGTGCTGTTGTTTAAATGACTGACTCAATACTGTTTCAGAAGCTTTAGGTGAGATGATGCGTGAGTTCTTCAATCAACAGAGAGCATCCAGCTGATGCTGGGACTCCAGATACTTTAAAGTTTTTGGGGGTTTTTTCTATAGTTTGTTCCTATAAAAGTCAGCTGGTCAGTTCATTTCTGGCAGCAAGACCTGCAGTCTTGAGAAGCCATTGTATTATAACAATTCTTAGGTGGAGGTGAGAGTCGATAAGCCTGTAAGTCACATCATTCAAGCAGCAAGTAAAAGCTTTGCCTTTATAACAGCTGCTGTTTCCCTGTTAGACATTAAACAATAGACAAGATGAGCTCCACAGACGGAGTGAATGTCAGAGAAGCTGGATTAGATAATAAGAGAAACAAGCCAAGACGTAAAAACAAAAAAAGTGTAAGGTGTGTGGGGGAAGTGCTAAAGGATTGGGTCGCAAAAATATTTTGAGTATTCAAAGTGATAATGTCTTGCCAGGGGTCAGGCTATTTAAAAAAAATACATTTCAGCTACACACACAATACCTATTTTGAAGTGAAACATTCCTCTTTGGTTAAATTGCCCTCAGATCATGATTTTTTTCAAAAACAGTAAAATTGAATGTACCGTTACCGCAGTTTAGACGCACCAAATTCTGTAATCCCCGTACGTCAGTCAGTGACAGCTGGGCTCTGCCCCAGACTTTGCTGCTGGCTAAATTCATACCTCTCTACAGATCCTATTGGCAGATCTCATCACTGTTAGTTGCTTTAGATGACCCAGAGCTGCTGCTCCATCTGCAAAACACTTTTCAACCTATCTTAACCCAATATCTGTGCTGTGTCTGATATGGCATGTCTGTTGTTGTTGATGTCTGCTCAACTCTGTGTGGGAGTCCCAGAAAACAGCAATACTACCAAATATTACCAATACCTGTAGATGAAAATGACACTTCTTTTGACTAAAGTGGTCCTTACTGAATTACTGCTATTTTGTATACTTTTGAGTTATTAGTATCTCTGTTGAGGCAAATTTGTGTTTAAGGCGAAGATTTTAGTAAAGCCACTTTGATGCCCCACAAAGGTGCTCGCTTAGAACCGCCCACATTTCAAGCCCCCAAGGAAGTAAATATCTCATTTTTAAATATTAGAGAAATAGAGCAGAAAAAATAGAAGTGGGGCATTGTTGGATGGACACAAGAGTCACAGAATAGCTGCAGAAAGGTGTTGCCCAGGGCAGGAAATGAGCAATGGAAATAAGGCCAGCACACACAGTGGGGGCACAAGACCTGTTGTGCCCCTACAGTTCAGACTGACACTTAAGAGGATTAGTATTATGGTGCCGATGTGTGTCTATCTGTGTTTGGGTGTGTGTGTTTAATGGGGGAGGGGTTGTGGGTATGGTGGAGGCACTGGGCAAAATCATCTCAGTTGCACTGGCCCACATTTCCCCATCAACCTGCATATCCATCAAAAAAAGGCAGCCATCCATACATTAATACAGCCTGTACATGTCATCTGGATGAAGGCAAATCAACTGCTGCTTTGTTTGTGAAATTAGACTCCCATTGCAGTTTATCTTGACAATCTACTCCCACTCACACTCAGGTTTATTACTGCAGGATGTCTAGCCTCAATTTCAGCAATCTGATCAGCCATTTGCCCTTTACCGCTGAGACGCCAGGAGGATTAGAAGTACCTTTGTGGGTTCATGCTCTGATTTTGCATTCTTGAGTTTCTCTTCTCTTTTCCGATATTCCAAGCAGCTCCGACGAGCACAGAGAATCCAGTCATCTTATCCTCAAATGGCCAGAACTGACGTCATTCGCCCAGGAAACAAACAATTGTAGATGTTCTTGGCTAATTACTACAATTTGCACTTTAGGTCCACAGAAATGTCAGCATGAGAAAGAGAGAGAGCGAGCGAGAGAGAAAGAAACAGAGTGATTGACAAATATGCACTGAGGAGGGATGATGGAGACCAAAGGAGACAGAGAGAGATGGTACTTGGCCTGCCTGCTGATAAAAGGCTACAGAGCAGAGGCACAAATTGCATACAGTCATGAGAGGATTTGTAATGAGAAGCAGTATGTGACCAAGCTGAACTCACACATAACCTGCACACACACACACGCTCATACACATATTCACACAAAACAGACACACACAGAAAGCCAGCAGAGATAGTTGACATTCCACATTCATGGCACGGGACTTGACCATCAGTGTACTGCATAAGCAAATACTTTTAACAGCATATTAATCTGATGGCCTTTCCCTTGTTGCCTTATAATATTTTCAACTTTATTGTTTCCTGTTTCCCAGCAGATAAACTCCTTAACGTAGAGGCAAACCTTGACCCCTCCCTAAGGTGGTTTCGCAGCGAAAACACAGACTGTGGAGATTAATTAGCCTACGGTTTAGTGCTTTCTGCACTAAAGTGCTGCTAATTAAAATGTGTGAGTGTGCGCTTTCAAATAGTTTGCCTGTGTGTTTGTGTGTGTGTATATGTCTTTATCTGTATTTGTCTGAATTTACATCTGGGACAAGACTGATATTACAGAGAAAAAAATTTAATGCCTTTCAACATCAAAAGTAAAACAGGGACAGATTGCCTGATAGGAGTAATTGATATTTTGTGGGTAATGTTTTTCCATCACCGGTTCTCAGGTGGATGAGCACAAATTTCCCAGAGGGATTAGAGATTGTGTGTGTGTTGTTTGTGTGACTGAGCTGTGCAAGAGGAGGTCTGATAAGATGAAGATGGGAAGGTTTGGCAATGATATTCAGTATCCACTGCTTGAGTTTTTAAATTGGAGTCCACAGACTGAGAGACATCAAGGAGGGCATCAATGGAGAATAAACCAGCTTTTATCCATGACTATGAAAAACAAATTTGGAGAGTTTATCAAGAAATTCATGGCCAGCTGATGTGGGCTGTGTTCTTCTCAATAGGTGGACTAAAAGTTAGACATCTCTGTAACTATTTGATAAATTGCCATGAAAGTCTCAACAGAATCCTAGAAGAGGAATGCCAGGAGGTCAAAACTTTCGATTATCCTGTGAAATAACCCAACAGCTACTTAGTGTTACTCCAATTGCATCCAAATGTCTTTAATTAGTGCCCCTTAGAGAAAATTGTAGACCTTTGATACACGATTCAGTTAATTTCTTTTAAGCTAGTACCATCATTATTAGCTTTACTCTTTTTAATTTTTTTTCATTGGCAAAGGCCGCAGAAACAGACTAGAGGTTTCTGGCACAAATTCACCTAATTCCGGAGCAAAGAGCATAAAGTCTAATGGGGTCAGAGCTCCAGCAGCAGTTTACAGAACTTTATTTTTTTGACCAAAACATTTCTCTCAGAGATTGCAATATCATGACACAGATGGAAGACACAGAAGAGAAAATTAATAAAAAGCAAGACATTTTATTAGGCTATTGAAGAAAACACAAAGTCCAAAAACAAGCCAAGTGAAACCCAAAGCAATCACAGGAGTACACAAGGTAAACACACTGGAAAGTACAACAGCCGAGCGACAAATATTAAATAGAAGGCAGGGCTATTGATACACAAAGGGAGGGTGGAAACAGAAGGGTATCGAGACACAGCTAAATTAAATCTATACAATGAGACCAGGAGGGAAATATAGCTAAAAGCAATGGACAAGAAACAACTATTAAAGTAAAACAGGAAATAATACAAAGATAACTCTGCAAAAAAGTCACATTAGGAAGCATCTATTCTTTTCTGCTTATCCAATCCAGGTTCACAGGGTGGGGTATAAAACTTATGGATACTAACCAAGAGTTCAAGACAGAAAACCAGGCTCAGAACTGCTTGCAAAAATAAAAAAAAATGCTCTATATACTAAAGAATGGTCTAACCTCTTCTCATTAGCCAAAGATGCCATATCAACATGGTTAGTATAGTAAAAAAAATATGAAAATGAATGAATGAAAATGAGAAATACCATAGGCTATATCTCTCATGGCAGCTGTGATGAATTAATCTGTCAGAGAACCTTTTCCACTTTGCTGTCCAGTAATTGTTAGAGAAGGTGGTCAGGATCAGTCGCGATGAATAACAGTTTGTTTAGTGACCACCAGCTTCAAACCTGACCAATCTGCAGCCAGTCACAGAGCCAGCCTTCCTAATCAGCTTTATTTCGTTTGTTGGTATCACCAACTCCAATGGTGCTCCCTCAACAGACCACTGCACTCGCCACAGCTGACTGATCTCCATCATTTTTCACCACACACTTTGCCAAACACATAACCTCATGCACCTGCTCATTTGTATTAATCTTCCTGTTCAACCTGTGGTTGATGTTGGCATGCAGTTGGCATGCAGTTATGGTTACTTACTTCACTATGTCAGCATCCCCTCCCAGTAAAAACACAGGTCATGCTGGTGTCCATTTCAATCATTATCTCTCTGGTTTTATTTTCAGAAGCAGATGATTCCTCCAAGGCTACTCCATAATATCATCCCCTCGTTCTCTGTACTCCTTATCTATCCAACCATTGCAGAATAATCAGAGTAGGTGGCGTGACTGAGAATTGTACTGAGAGTCTGAGATGTACAAGGTGAACATGAATGGAGACAGCAGAGTCCCTTGTGGAGCTCCTGTACTGCACATCTCCAAA